CAGTTTAAATACTCTTCATTAGCTGGTAGATGAGAACATGTAGTTTTTTCCCCAAAATAATCTGTAGTTTAAAAAAACCCTAAATCACAAGTTATATTGATAAGTTTATTTTACTATACTGGGAGAGTGATAGTTGTTTGATAGTTGGCTGCAGCAAGTGACACAGAGCAGTAGATTTCAAATGTAGGAAACTTCCCATGCATCCCAGAAAGAGCAACATATCATTTTTATTACCATGGATCTTCATCCATTGCATATAACAACAAACATACCTAGTATATTAAGTTGGGAGCATATCGAAAAAGTAAATATTTAAAAGACTAGTTATTTATGTAAACACTTGTACTGCAACATTAAATCTTACCTTTGGCCTTCTGCTTCATTAATTGAGTGCTCGCTGTGTTACTGGTACTTATGTGCTAGATGCTGTTCCAGAACTCATTGCTGGGGCGCATAATGACATGATATGAAGTGTTTCAGAAAACAGTAGAAGCCCTGTCACTAAGTCAGCTGCAAGAAGTGATGTGTATGAATGTATAGTATATGGTGTTTTATGAAAGATGCAGTCTCAGTCTCTCTCTTTTTCTCCCAAAGAACTTTAGTTGATGATACAAGGGGAATTCAGTTCCCTTTGGCAGAACTCCACGTCAGTCTGGATGCTGTAAACACTCCTGTTCTACAGATACTTAGCTCATACTGCTAAAAATACACTAGTAACAGACTATAATATATCTTCTTTTAAAAAAAATGTTTGGCAACAATAATCATTTAATGTTATTGTGTACAGGCAAACCTTATTGTTCAAAAACATCTATTAATACTGATGAGAATGAATTAGAGAGATAAAATCAAACATGTGCATAATGATTGCATCTGTTTCTAGTAATATTTAAAAGAAAAGACCCATAAGCCATGAACATAAAGATTCTTAAACTATGTTCTTTTCCAGTTCAAATGAAATGTACTAGTGTAAATGAAACTGTATTCAGCAGTAAGAGCATCAGAATCCCAGTAGATGATGTAACTATGTTAAAAATGAATATTATTGAATAATTCACTTTTGTAATATGCAAAAATTAGGTAATTTTTTTCTTTCCTTTCTAATAACCATCAGTCTTAATATCTACCTAATGAAAACACATAAACATTGTCATCTGTCAGGTTACTGACAGAGAATACCACTTATTGGAGTCTCATTGTTTACTTTAGCAGGTAATTTGTGGACCGGAATCATTTAATTGTTCTGAGTACATAATTACATGCCAGCATTTTCCAATTTAATTAAAATGTACAAATCTGAAGATTAAGGGATTTTTTTGAATTATTAATCATTTCTCCTCTAGGAAATCTTGTTGCTCTGCAGGAGATTTGTCCAGTGTACAACTATACGTATTTTTTCCTTCTCTTTCACAGACAGACAATTTTCCCGCAGAGCCCAATTACATGGGCAGCAGGCAGCAGTTTGTTCAAAGGTAAGGCCTATTAAATAACTTTCTTGGCTTCCCCATTTGCATTCTTGTCAAAATTGCTTTGCCAGAGAGTACCATTCAAACTGGAACAAGTAAATACAAATCTCTCTCTCTCTCTCTTTTTAAATATGTATTTCAGTAGCTCCACGTTCAAGGACCCAGAAAGAGCCAGCTTGAGGGACAGCGGGCATGGGGACAGTGATCAGGCTGACAGTGACCAAGACACTAACAAAGGCTCCTGCTGTGACATGTCTGTTAGGGAGGCACTCAAGATGAAAACTACTTCAACTAAAAGCCAGCCGCTTGAGCAAGGTGAGTGAAGCATCCAATGCTTACAAAGTTAAAGCTTAAGCAATTATTATAAACCTATTACTGGAGTTTATCATGGTAGAATAGCTCATTGATAATACTATCAGATGAAAAAGTAAATCTTGGCTCAGAGCAAAGCATGTTCATTATCTTTAAGTATAAACATGAAATTGCAATAGCCTTTCTTGTTTTATTCCAATGAAGATTATAAAAATCATTAAAATTAATAGTTTTCCAAAACTATTAGAGTATAGTTTGTTTTCATGGGCATTTCCATAAGAGTATTTAGTGTAAAGTCTTTCAGCCAATGCAAGCCTTGAAAATTGAAACTAGATATTCTAACAACAGATAAAATTACATCTAGTCATTTCCATAGTTTACATAGTTTGGAGTAAGGTTTAACAAAATACCTGGGATATTATAAAAATAAAACCAAAGAAATTTTCAGTTCATGGCTATGTTTTCCCATTTGTAATGTTGAGTTCACTGTTCATAGCAATATAAGAAGCAAAGTGTCAAATAATGGCATCATATGATTTTCAGTATAATCATTTCATTCAAACCTAAGAAAGATGCAGATAAGTGTCTGTGAAGCTGCTACAATGATTTATACAAGGAGAGCGGCAATGCTCTATATGTATACATTCTGATAAATAAGCATGTTTATTGCCTCACAGTCTGTATCCAATTCATTTTTTTTCTGGATGCCTTTTCACTAAATATGATATCTTCTATTTTAAAAGACATATGACATTTCCTACCAATGTCAGACAAACTGAACACTCCAGCATCATGTGTGTTTGTGTGTTTTGCTTTTATTCTGGAAAGCAATGAGGAAACGAACAAATGAATTCTTTTGAATTTAATGTCACATATTTGTTAGTCATTTTAGTCTGTTGTGTGGAAAGTGATTCACAATATTAAGGATATTTTAAAAATTGATTAATTAAGTCATTCTTAATGAGAACCTATATTTATAATTAAACAGAAATACATTATAAGCTTTTTATTAATTGGTGATTAATTGCAACTAGATTTTTGCCTCCAGCACAGTCTGTAGCTGTAGCACATTCATCAGCAAATACATGCTCTACTTCATTTTTCTGATTATGTTGAGATTGCAATATATTTTTTGTGGTGTACAATAGTTGTAATGCTGCAGTATAATTTATTCTTTATGTATTGGAGGGTTCACCTCATATAAGGCCTTGTTTTCCAAGTAATAAATGCCAGAAAGATTATTTTTTCCTGACCTTTTACCACAGTGACTCTGCTTATAATTGGACATTGATCTGTATAAAGATGCAGTGCTGGACTTTTTTCTTTTTTAAGAAACTGTTTGAACATGGATGTAAGTTTCTCAGTTTTTTTATAGAAAACAGAGGACAGGGTCTCCAGGCTTCAACATAACAGGTTACCAGAAAGTATGATAGAATTATGAAAGACTTAAAAAAAGTGCAATTAGGAAAGTTATGCCCTAATCATCTAAACAAAGCAGGTTCATTCTTAGTAAAGGGTTAAAAGACAGAATTTATATTATTACATTTTGTGCAGCAACATGTTATACACATCAAGCCAGATACAGGTCAGAATACAAGAAGACTAGCAAGCAAATTTAGTCAACCATTCGTATTGCTTATTTTTGTAACACAGAAAGCTATTTAGAAGTTTGCATTTGTCATCATATCTGGATGAGGGGTTCTATTAATCAAAAAACAACTCATGCAATTGGCTTATATTAATTCCTCAATTTCTTTTTATACAAAAATTGAACTGTGAATGTAAGGTGTGATCTGTTGCTGAATATCAGCAAAAGGCATTTAGGTAAATCTTTTTTGGGGTGCTTTGCGAAACAAATTAAATGTAAATATAGAGACAGCAAAGGGAGCTATTTTTCAAATGTAATTAAAAGGGGCAATGATATTTGTTGTTTCCTGTGAATTCTTCAGTATCAAATGACTGGTAGAGTTATGTAGACTGAGGTTCCAAACTTACAGTGAACTTCATGTAGGCTCAAAGGTTCATCCACACAGAGATCATTGCAGGAATAAAGCCCAAGAGCCCAATTCTGTTCCTACTGAATCAATTATTGTTTTCTGTGTACCTGTACTAGAGTATTCTTTCTCTTCAGTAAATGGGTATTCTTTTTCAAATTAAAGGGCTGGTTTGTGGGTGGAAATGTATATTGAGTAAGATAGTGAAAGGAAAAGGTCTTGCTTTTTCTGTGAAGAAAAAATGTCTTCCAAGGTAAAGAAAATGGAAGAGTGGTCAAAAGTCAACTGCTCAAAGTGGTGTCAGAAGTGCTGGCTCTGTCATCATTCTCGATTGCACTTAGACAGTGACGTTGGAACAGTTTGTATAGTGGGACTGCTACGAGTCATGGAACCAAACTGTAAATCCTGTATATAAGGGAAACCACTTCAAGTCTGGGGGTGCTACAGCATCTTCTGCACCTGTAGTTCCAGCACCGGTACACTCAGAGATGGAAAACCATCATTTTGAAACTAAAATTTAAGCTAGGTGGTGTTTGTTTAAATAGATTTAAAATGCTTTTTGTTAATCTGAAGTCAGAGTTTGTTGGGTATTCAGCACTTTTTAATATCAAATGGCACTTAAATGGATACAGGAGCTTAATATTAGGTTTTTTAAAAACTTGGCCCTTGTTTGTGTCTGCAAATTTTTGTGTATAATTTTCAAGCATTTTGATCTATAGCATAGTGGTTAAATGTCAGTGGTTGATCTATACTTGTGCTATCACCTGTACAGCTGCACAGTAGTAGCAAACTGGGAAATTTGGTGAAAAAATGTCTAGGATAGAAATAGCTTCTGGCTGGATATGGTGTCCTGTGCCACTCAAATCACTTTTTGGCTTCCACCAAAGGAAGAAAAAAACACCCACTGGAGATCAAAGTCCAAATAGATCTGTTGTTACAAAGGTTTGATTTTGAAGGGGAATTCTATAATTGGTACTTTTCATCTTGCCTTGACCTCAGTACAGAGAATTATTAAATATGGAAAATATTACCAAAGAGGGAATTTTTATCAAACTGGACATTTGGCCGTAGTGGAAAAAACCTCCATATACTTTTTAAAAAGTCACTGGAGCAATAAGTCTTGTGTACTGAACAAGCATGTCTCCATTAAGTTATTTCAGTCATGCCAGCTGCTGTATACTTTAGTCTTCTCATTCTATAAAAATGTCTAGCTGTCTTTTAAGATTTTTTTATGCTATCTGATTCATATTGCTCTTTCTAAGCAACTGATTCTGCATGATCATGGTTTTGCCAGAACTTTTGGTTTATGCCTCAATTTTAGATTATGTCCCTGACTTATTTTAACCCTTTCACCAGACAGAACACTTTGAACTCATTCTTTTTGTTCAGCATTTTTAACAACTTTGATTACTTCCTATTAAATTACTTTGAAACTTCGTCTTTGAAATAGTTGATAGTGTTTTTTCATTGTATTTATTAATACTGGAATCATCCTTTTTGATGTCTAAGGTTTAAACATAAAGGCAATAATACCTTTTCCTGAAAAGGTGACCAGAACTGAAAATCATATTATAAATGCTATCTAGCCAATGGCTAATAAAAGCAAAATAATTTGTATTACATCCTTCTGTTAGTGCATCCTAGAAATCTATTTCCCATTTCTTGCTATCCACACAGCTGGAATTTTTTTCTAATAAGCCCTAAATCCTTTTCCTGATTAGAATGCTGCAGTACTTCTATTCCATTTCTCTTTTGGTTTATGTACCATGTGTTTCCTATTTTACTATATACAACTATTTTTAAAAATTTATTATCAAAACTACTTTTAAGATCAAGTCTTTCAACATGATAGTCTGTTCAATATTTGTTGCAACACAAGGTGTGGTATTATAATTTCAAATATATAGTATCAAATTTTGATTTTCATCCACAACTGTACCCCCCTTACAGGACAAATTTGCATAAATGCTGTTGCCTATTTAACAATAACTTTATTCTTGAAATAAAAGATAGGTCCATCAATATCTATTAGCTAGGATGGGCAGGAATGGTTTCTCTAGCTTCTATTTGCCAGATTCTGGAAATGAGCATTCATTCCCTCTGGGGCACCTGACAATGGCCACTGTCAGAGGACAGGATACTGGGCTAGCCCCAGTATGGCCATTTTTATGTTCTTGTGACAAGAGGCACCTTAGGATAGGAAAATTAGAAGTAAATACTTCAAGATTCATGTCTTCTAATTGGTTTCTCTGAAAGAGTTTTGCCCAAATGTACACACCATAGATAAATAGTATAAAAGGGACAAAATACTAAAGCATCAACACAAAATATTATACTTTTACTTCTTGCAACAAACATACATATGCATCTGAACTGAAGTAGCCTTCCTGACAGCAATCTTATGAACGAAAATGTTACCGGTGTTTTAACATCTCAAAGAATATTCTGAACTCTTGAGTTTATTCATAGAACAAAGTCCCTTAAAGTCTGATGTAGCTTATTGATTTTTTTCTGTTCTTTGAGTAAGAGTGATTATTTGTTCTTTAAAATGGGTACTTTGAATTGATTCTCCAAAAGTAAGCATGAGATCATCAGAATTTTTGATAAAAAAAAAGTTCTGTTCTCCCCATTGACAGCCTTATCACAATTCCTGACATCCCCAGAATAATTAAAAGCCATTGCAATTTATTTAATTAATTAAATATCAACCCTTGATGGCTAGTGAGGAAAGATCAGGCATAATTCTGTTCTTCTGTCTGACACCATCACCAATGCTTTTCATGCCATTGGAAATGGTTGGTTCTTACACAAGTGCACTAATTTAACGAGATATTCAAACAAGAAGATTATGGAAAAATGCCATCTCATGGTTCCTCACAGTTTGATGATTGCCTCTGCTGAGAAACTGATTCAGGTTGGGAGTCTCCCCAAAACTGACACGACCTGTGAAATACTTTATTCAACATTGCTTCCTCCCATAGGTTTTTTCCCCCGGACAGAACACCTTCT